GTAGACAAGTTTGGCTGTGCGCATTATTCAGGTGGTAATTATGACAAATGATTGGGTTATATTTGTATAAGACATGCATAACTTAGGAGTTCATTGACCCTTTTTATATGAAAGTTCCCTCGCAAATCATTGCATCTACATAAGTTTTGGTTAGGCACAGAGTTTGGTTTGTGGTTGTGATTGGTCAAATTAGTTTTGGGTACAAGACATGCATAAGTAAGGCCATAGGGCATCTTTTAATGAAAATTTTTAATTGGCATATCATTAAATTTACACGAGTTTGGTTGTGCACATTATTTGGATTGTAATTATGACAAGTAAAATCATTCAGTTATATATTAGTTCTGTGTTTTGGTATAGTATCTAATAAAATCGATTGGAATTTGTTTTTGATTAAACTGTGGGCATATTGCATTTACACAAGTTTGGTTTTGGATGTTGTTTGAGTAGAAATTAAAAATTGCTAAATTAGTGGGGTAAATTAGTGTGGTCAGATTTGTTAGAGGGTATCAGATGTGTACTAATAAAGTATTAATTAGATTTTGTTGCTTATGAATATGTTTGGGCGTAATGCGGTAGTGGATTTTACACAAATTTGGTGTTGCACATGCATTATTTGGGTTGCAAGTTTAATTTGTGAATTCATGATGGTAAACAGGTATTATTTTTGAGTATAAAGCATGGAGAGTGAGTTGTTAATGAGACTTTTTTATGAAACTCTTGGGGCATATTTTGACACGAGTTTGGTTGTGCACATTATTTGGATTGTAATTATGACAAGTAAAATCATTCAGTTATATATTGGTTCTGTTCTGTATTTGAAACGTTTGTTTTGGTGGACTATTTTGATTGTTATTTTGACTTTCATGGAATTATGTTACATTGGTATTGTATAACACATCTATATGTATGCATAAGATGCATTAAACATCTATAGACAATGGAGCGTATTAGAGTGTGATGAAACTGTTTGGACATATTGATAGTTTTGAGTTGGTGTGGTTTTATGGGTATGTTATAACAAGTTTATTGCCGCATAAGTCAAACACAAAATGAATGAAATCTTACACCAGCGCAAGTTTAATTCTTTTGTTATCGTACGGCCAGAGCAGTTTTAATTCCAGATCGATAAGCAATAATATTTTATGTAAGTGATAGTTTAGCATATCCCCAGTCGAAGCGTAAACCGCGAGACAACATTGTAAACAAGCTAAACTAAGCAAGTCCCGGTCGAAGCGTAATCCGCGAGACAACAGAATAAGATAATTAAGCATGGCAAGTCCCCTGTCGAAGCGTAATCCGCAGGAAAACAGTATCAGACAATTAAACATGGCAAGTCCCCGGTCGAAGCGTAATCTGCGGGACAACAGTATAAGCCACTTAAGCATGTTCAGTCTCCGAAGGAAGCGTAAGCCGCGAGATAACAGAATAGATTGTAAATCAATGCAGCAAATAGTCCCCGGTTGAAGCGTAAGCCGCGAGACGTAACATCGATTATTAAAGTGGTCCAAACATAACATCGGGTTTAGCAGTAAGTACTAGCAAATCATTCCCGGTCGAAGTGTAATCAGCGGAGTAGACATTATTCACGTCCCACCCGTACGTACCCGTATATAGACTACCCATTCCATCTGGGTTATAACTGCAAAGTGAACCATAAACATTATACAGACTTCCTATTGATTCCATGTATGTATGAATTCGTTGATTGCATAGGTTTTATATAGCTATATTGATTCATAATCCCAAGGCCCATGACGGTGATAAGAATGAAATTCCGCCACACGGTCATTTATGACCGCCGCCAAATGGGCTGCGTGATGATAGGTAAGTGACCTCGCGTGTGCAGGGATAGGTGGTGTTTGCGCTGGCATTGTAACAGGAAATCAAGCTACTTCTCAAGACTGGAGTAACGCGGTATGGAAGTTACAAATAAGGAATTCCGAAGCGGCATCCACAAGGTGCACCCCATCTGATAAATATAAATCCTGCCGCAACCACTCAATTTGGGGGAGAGCAATCAACCCACCTGGCGCCCTGTGGAAAAGATTGCCCACCGAACGGTTAAGAGCTCGCCTGGTGCGCTCGACCGAATTTGTCTGTTAGCCGAGGCATAGGAGACCCTTGGCAAAATCTCCGACCAGTAAATGATGGAGTGAGGTAATAATGCTCGGGTGACGGCAAGAATTTGTTTAATACCCTCGAGCATTGATTTCTTGGGGACGTAGCCCAGATGGTTGGAGCCAACGTGTATGATGATCCATGTTGGCGATGCTTGCTCCGCCATCCAGCAGCTGTGAAGGAAGTCGTTGAATTGGTCAAGCTGCAGGCCCCGCCTACCCATCCAGCCAACAGTTGCCAGCCCATCAAGTGCCTCCCCCCAAGGAGAGGATAACGCCACACGGGAGGTCCAATGGATGAACGAGTCGCCAACCACCCAGACAAGGGGCTTGTTGTCGATCGGCGGGTTTGCTCATGGAAGTAAAACAGAAATTAAATAGCTATCAATACTTAATGAAAAGTTAGCGTATGGTTGGAATCACGGTTGTTTTTGGTGTGGGGTAACATGACCCCAATGTACAAAATAACCACAAATTTAAAACTCATGGGAGAAGGTCCCCGCTAATACGAATATAGCGGCGGTAAACGCGTGACTGCCAACGACCCATCTGTTGGATCTCATCGTCAGGAATTCCCGCCATTGCGGCTGCTGTGGCCGCACCAATCCGGAAGGAATGAGAAGTGTAACGGGTATCACGAATGCCAAAGAAGCCAAGGGCCCGCCTTAAAACAGCGGTGAATTGAGAACGTGTAATTGGAGAACCATCGAAATGGGACAGGAAATTGCTGAAATGCTGAGGACACTTGCTGAGCAACTGTGTAGTGGCCTGAACATGGCACAGGGAGAGTTCGCCCTCAGAAACAGCAGGTATTGAAATTACACAAACCTGACCGTACTGGTCGGTCTTGGAGAAACGAATGCGATTTCAATATCTATACTGGGAAATCAAACGATGCATCTGATAACGGACTAACATGTTACGCAACTAATGTACTTGCAGCAGGGGTACTGGTTGTACTTAGACAGCTTTTACACAAGCCCATGTTCATTTCTTGATCTGTTGAAAGACAGAACGGGAACATGTGGGACTGTTCGAGAAAACAGGAACAGTTTTCCAAAAACTGAGACAAATGCGATCATGCCATGTGATGAACGAGGAACAAATCGATGGATAAGAACTAATGATGAAAAATTGTTGTTTGTTGAAAGGAAAAACACTAGGGTAGTGCCCACGTTGTCGACAATCCACAACGCTCATGGCAGTGCAACGGAGAATTTGAGCGCAAAGTTTTTCCTGCAGTAAAAGATTACAACAGGTCCATGAGAGGAGTCGAATTATTAGATCAACTGATACTAACATACATGGTACAAGACTCGGTTTTTTCATTTTATGGACATTGCAGTAATTGTTTCAATTTTTTTATAACTCCAGTAGAAATGAGATTGGAAGACAGGAATTCAGAAAGCGTCTCATTCAAGATGATTTGTGCCCTGCCCCAGAAATGTTTCAGCCACATTATCATTTCCCCAGAGAAATACAACAGGAAGATGACAACAGACAGAGGCAACAAGTGGACGAAAGAATTGTCTCTGTTGGGTCAATACGCACGAAGTAGTCAAGACACCATGGCAATGTAGCACCTGTCATCTCCCTCTGTGTGTAATACCAGGCAGGAACATGTTTCAAATCGTGACATGAACAATAGTTTCTCCAATATGTGATTGCCACCATGAAAGAGGTCAACTTGTACAGGTGAAACACAGATTTTAAATTGATTATTCACTATCTGTCCCCCAAAAAATCAGTGGCTCAGGGAGAGAGTACAAATTCTTTGAAACGAAATATTGTTGATAGCTGTGTGCATGTGATTTACACGGTTTATTTCGTATTTCTCATATTTTGATCTGTCTCAATCTTTACAGTTTACAGGTCTTTTACCATGCCAATTTTTCTCAGAAAATACATCTTAAGGTGTACATGTATTGTAACGCGACTCTGCATTGCGTTCATTGGTGAAGCCTCTTGATGCATTGATGTGGGAAAACTCCCCAAGGTACTTTCAGTATATTTCTCAAAGTATCTGCTGATGTTGCATTGCATCATGAACCTTTTTTCAGTTAACAATAAATTTCCTGAAAAATGCAAATTTTCTGTAGAAACTTCATTTTTGGTGCATTTTGGGTTTCGGTCGCTATGGCAACCAAATTGTTTGGTGTTTTGATGTGCTTTTATCAAGTGAGGCTCGAATTTTGTAATTATGCATTCAACAAATTACGGTGTAATATGAGTGATGTGGCTGGAATTACAGCTTTAAATCACGCTACGTTTACACTCTATTACAGGCAGGTTAGACGACCCCTGCGTATCACAACTGGATATTATCTTTGTAAGCATTTCCATTGTAGTCATTTTTTTATTTTCTGGGCTTTTATTGACACCATGAAAAATTACAAGTTTTATTCTACACCAAGAAGCATTAGAAAGGCTATGTAGACTGTGTGGGGGTTTAGTTATTAAGTCATCAACTTACATCACTGTAAAAACTATGGGCACTGGAGTTACTGGGCGAAAATGTTTTACAATTGTTGGTAGATATTTGCTCGTTCTGTGGTTGTTTTTATATGTTGGTAAAGTTGTTGGAGTGACCAAAATTGGGAATAACAAGTGTCCATAACGTTGGGTACATTTTAGTTCCTACATTGGTAATGAGCCATTTCGATGTTTCTGCCGTGCAAGGAACTCTGGGATTGAATTCGGATAAACAAACCCACCTGGCATAGCCAGCTGGCTTTTTTGTGCATGGGAGTTGTGCAGCAGCTTGCGCAAAGTTTGTCAGCTGTGCGAAGTATTTGAAATGTAAGTACTTAATTAAACCAGATTTTCAGCTTTTTGTGTTGATCTTTGTCTAACCTTGTTAGTTTTTTAACAGCCCACAAAGTCAGTTTTGCTTGGATCACGGCTTGGACAAAATGGGACTTTTGTGAGATATTTTGATCGCCGAGCGTGTTGTGGTCCACGATGTACATGTACAAAGGTAATGTTACTGCCGTTGAAATTTTCTTGCGCGTCTTTTGTTACGCATTTTACCTGTAAACAGAGCCCAAGGAATACTCTTTATAGGAAGAAGGAGTATACGTCAGGCCCTGTTTACGGGTCTGTAATAAAGAATATTTAAAAGAGAGTGGCCTCATTTCTTCAAAGAAGACTAAAGACGAGCTTGTTGCATTAGTTAATGCTTTAAAGGAGCTGCAGGTCGATCCCAAGCCTTCTGCTTTAGGAGACAATGCTTGCATTTCTGCTCAATACAGAACCTTAAAATTGATGATATCCGCTTGCCGGATCCCTTTCAAATCAAGGATGGATGGCTTAGTGAAAATGAACCAATGAAATACTGGCCCCGTTCCATGCTCGTAGACATTATTGAATATTTACTCCCTCAATTAGACACAGCTTTGACAAAATGTATCTTTTCTGATTAAAAAAAAGGCAAATCTTGTACCATCTTGCATGTCAGTGGGTTGGAGAGGTTCACTACACTGACTCGAAGAAAATCCCATTTTGTTGTTTGAAATGTTTGTGCACTCCTCAGAAGGTAAAAACTACTCCTCATCAAGTGTGGGTGTTGATTGGAAGGGCAACAGGGAAAGTGCACCGGGCGTACTGCACTTGATTCGCTGGGTAAGTATATATATTTCAAAATGACCCTTAATAAACTTTACATCATGGTTCATTAACCACTTTTTCATCGCTTCATGTTATTTCACGACGAGCCATTAGCCTCCTTCGTTAACCACACAACTGTACCTGGAACGTTCATAATGCAATTCAGTGATGTATTTTTGGTTCATAACAGGAAACATTTATCCTGATGAAGAAAAACCATAATGTGTAAGACGAGGCAACAAATTATACAATGCAGCGCAAACTATTACAATTTCATCTATCACCGGAACCATGGTCAAAGGCAATGTGCTTTCAGTAGAGAAGTGCTTGATCCTACCGATTGCCCTTTCTACATGAATACGTGCATTGGTCACACTCTTGGTTTTCAGACCATCTTGCTCAGACTGTTGAGCCTTGACGGAGCTTCGGGGTGGGACGGCAAGATGGGCACCAATGCACATGAGATTCTCCTTGACTGTGAACCCGTTATCGGCGAGGATCAAGTCTCCTCTCTCCAAATGGTTGTAGAAACCACTCTTCCTAGTTATATGTATATCTCGTCGGCGTTTTCACGAAGGGGCGAATTTAACCTTTCACAGTCTAAACGAACATTTGAGAAAAACGGGTGCAAACGTTCATCCTTTTTTGATTTGAAAGTTTACAGCTTAAGAATGCCTGGATATGTGAGTTTGCGGTATCGGTGGAAAGGATAGTGTCTCCGCTTTTGAAATACTTGTAATTTGAAGAAAACGTGTTGTTTAGGTTTTCAGAATTAATTACGTTAGAGGAGTGGCTGTTCGTGAAAACGCAAAAAAGATAAATGAGCAAATTCGCCCCGTGCGTGTAAAATTCGCCTCTTCGTGAAAACGCTCAAGTCAGCACGCGCGAAATTCACCCCACTGGGATTCAAATTCGCCCCTTCGTGAAAACGTACCGAGTCTGTTTGTACAGTTTTTGCCCCCTTAGCAAACGATAAGTCTATGCTATTTCAAAGCGATCATGCGTAGGGGCGCTGTGAGTATTAGAGGAATTCAGATGCCGTGGAAAGTACAAAGTTACACTTGTTTGTGTGTCACCTTGCCGTCAGTAGGCCTAACTATTTGTATTATGTTTTTTCCATCTACAAATAAAGCAATATGACACTTCCTGTATTAACACAGTTTCCAAGAATTTGGACTGATTAACATAATCAATTAATGAATCAATTATGTTTAGTTTTCAGCATTACAAATTGGATTTTTTTCGCATCTGTTTATTTACAGGTTTT